AAAAGTGTTGCGTTTATATTTTTGTTCAGTGTATTTGTAGATGTATACAAAAGGACACTGGAATCACTCAACAATGATGCAATACAGTTTTGTTACTGTTTTAATGCAACCATTACACGTTAGTTATCTGCCAACAAAGATGGACCTGGTAAATAAAGCATTATGTTGGTCTGAAGTTAGATTACTGAAACCCTCTGAACCCATCTCATCTGGACAGGGAGGGATGTGAGATCGCTGTTCACTCATAATGTTCAGTTTTTTACACCTTAGTTCTATTCAGGCTGATCACAAACTGAACAACATGGTTCCCTCCAGCCTGTTACATTGAGGCACTCAATGACAATTGTCTGAATGGAAGTCTTCCAACCCTTCAACTCTTTCCGCCTCTCCAAACTTACATTATGTGAACTGACCTTAAATGTATGCGGTATACAATTACTAATTGTGCCCGGAGGCCAGCCTCCTCAAGACAACTTCTAGACAAATTAAGTTTGAGATGTAAACTTTTGCTAGCTGTCTGTGAGGAAGGTGTACAGATTGTAATTATTTTATCACATCACAGCCTTCTAACAACAGATAAATCCTCTTAACACCTTTCTTAAGGCTCTCCTATCATTCATCCTACAAAGGGCAATACAACTAACTGCGTTAGAAAAGATCAGAGATCTCTTAGTGAATGAGTCTCTCCCTGCTGAAGGCTTACAGTAGCACTGATAGCAGTCCTCAGTCTAATAAGCAGTGGTGGCTGTTATTAGGATATGTCCGTGATGAAATTAGCTTTAACAGGGCTGGGCTGGAACAATCAAATTAACAGCTGCTGGGAAGTTGAGCAGTCAGAGACACTTTGCTAATAATTCCAAGTGTTAAGTGCAGGAAGGCAACCGTGGTGCCTACATAAGAGAAAACATCACTAACAGTAAAGAGGTGAGGTCTCAACTCAATGCTATCAGCGTAGCCTTGTGAGGAACTTAAATACAAAACTCTGTTGGCAGCATGGTGACTCGTTTCAAAATGTAAGAAATAATAGCTGTGAAACGAGTTAAACCAGTGCATTTACAGGAAGCATTTTTTTTTATTTCACACTAAACCCATGTTTTTATTTATTGGCTGCAAATGGTAGAATTTTGACATCCACCTTGCTCCTTCTTCTTGCTATATTTTCACATCTGATATATGGATTGTCTGTGTTGGTATATTTTATGTTGTTTATTCTGTAATATGACATCTGTCCATCCTGCGTGTAGGATAGACTACACTACACTGCCAACACTCAAAATCTTGCCAAGTCTAATTTCTAGTCAAAATATGTCGAATTATATAAGACCTAATAGCTTGAGAAGTAACAATGCAGTGAGGTATAGGGTCTTGTTTTTAGACAATGCATCTTAAGTTATTGTTAAGTGAAAGACTCTTGAAAATATCTTACTTTCAGTTGGATCTCAGATCAAACAATGTTTTTTTTTACTATCAGAAAACAGAAAACTTTTGAGCATTTCTCGCTTGTAACACAACATTTCCTGATCCTGGTAAATATAGTTCAAAATAAATGTTCCCATCTAATAACAAGATCTCATTTATCTAAATATCCCATTTTATATCAAGACATCTTACCAAGCTAATGTTCTTAGAAAGTGACTAATTTGATGGAAATGTTTCAGTAGATTTGAACTGTTATGAAAGGACCCTGGGTTTTCTTTTCACGACAATGTGTCTCAGGGGATCTTAATATTTAAGAACCTATTAATGTGTTATACCAGATTAACGGAAATAATCTCAGCTAACTGACGATATAAACCATTTTTACCAAAACAAAACACAAGTCTCGTAAGAAGCATCTAAATGACCCCTTAGCGAAAAATGCTAACGGACATTGGCACAGAACTCAAGATAAAAGTACCCTTATTACTTATCGTAGCTGCACATACAAGATATCCGATTAAAGCTGAGGTTCCACAGATTATTTAGGTATATAGTATCATCACTGAGTGATCCGAATTTGCGACAGGGGAAGCAAAGACAGACATCACAACACGTACCTTTACGGAGCTTCTAGGGAGATCGTCTCACCGTAGCTGTTAATCTGATCAAAAGACGTGTTCAATGGCATTAAAACGAGAAAAAACCGCATAGCAAAAGTTAGCTGCTAATGGTAGACACCAGAGTGGCTGCTGCTTCCGGTCTTGGCTATGCGTCAGTCTAACACACGCACATGACCAAATAAGGACTATGTGGGAGTTCCCCTCGATTCCATTGGCTCTAACGGTTAGAAAGAGATGTCACATGGCAAAATCCAGCAAGGGGATCCAGAGATATGAAAAATCCACCCAAATGGCCCCAAAAGAGGTTTTTTTTTGCTAAATCTGTCTAAAAAGGTCAAATATCACTTGTTTTGCACCAATCTAACTAAAATACTAACCCATCATCCAAGGTTAGTTTTCACTATAAGTACAAAATATTTTTTGGACGGACGCTATAATTTACAGTTTTCTACCATGTTCAATCTGAATTTTCTTTAATATAAAAAACATCTATATTGAATCTGACTTTTCTACATCCAACTGACAGGTTTATCATTACTTTGAGAAAAAAGATTATTAATTTAACCCTTTTAGAAGGGAAGATATGGTCATTTGTTCTGGGAATGTCATTTTCGAGCCTGAAACCTGAAAAACAGGCTCGGGGTTTAACAGGTCAAAGGGTCGCCCGTCATGGCCATTTCTACTGCAGCTGAGAAAAAGTCTTAACGTCTTAAGACTTAACGTAACGGCTCGGCGGACGTAACGACCTTTAAGTGTAACTTTTTTACTTTATTAATTAATTGTTTTGATTTGTTTCAATCAATCAATTACATTTTATTTTTAATAGCACAATATGACATATTATACATTTGTTTCAGGGGCTCTACAGCTTGTCCTTAGACCCCACATTGCATAAGGAAAAACTCCCAAAGTAACCCAACAGAGGGGGGGGTGAAAAAAAGAGTGAAAAATATATGCTGCTCCAAAAACAAGTTAAAGTGTTTTCAGTTGTAATAAGTAAAAAGATCAGTGAACATTTGCTTGGTAAGATTTCTTGAAATAAGATGGGCTATTTAGATCAATTAGATCTTGTTATTAGCTTGAAAAATGTATGTTCAACTATATTTACCAGGATCAGGAGATGTTGTGTTACAAAAAAAGACAGAAATGTTCAAAGATGTTCTCTTTCCTGACGTTAGTTGGTGATTTTCCAAAAAAAAAAATAAAAAACCTTGTTTCATCATCCAACTTAAAATAAGATGTTATCAAGGGTCTTTGACTCAAAAATAACTTAAGATGCATCACTTACCACAGCGACGGCCTCCGAGGCCAGGAGCTCCTCTGCTGACATCACAGTGTAGTACGCCACATTGGTCAGCACATAGCAGCAAGTCACAATCGCCATGGAGATACAGATAGCTAACGGCACAGTCCTGATGGCAGGAGGGAGAATAACAGAAGCATTACACTGTCATTCACATGTATGTTTCCTTCACCTTCCTTTCACCTTTCTCATGTATTATTCATAGAAAGAAGTCAAAGAACTGTTGGTGGGGGCTGTGAAAGCACTATAACACTCAACAGCTGATCACTGTAGGAGACACTGTAGTATTTCAAACAGTTCAACCACATCTGGAGCTTTAGTTAGGATTTGTTAAGGATGGTGTATGTGTAGTAAAAAAAACTACGGTATGTGTTGTTGTGGTAATGAAGTTACATGTTTGCTAATGTAACAGTGAAACAAATATTGAGGATTTTGAATCTTATGTCCACAACAAATCACACAGTAAACCTTAGACTGCATTAAGTGTGGCTCATTGATGTGTTAGAATAGGGTTTGACAACAATGGAGCAGTATGATCCCATACACAATAGATCTATCCCTATCAGATATACACTATACAAAATATTCTCTCCCTTTTAGCTCTGGTTTGGTCTAGTTAGCTCTTGAGCTGTTAAATGCTACATTATGTTCACCAGCAGAGTACTGAGGGGTTAGGCTGCCAGCTGCTGGTTGAAACCATGGATGTATAATAAGAACTGGATACAGCGTCGCAGGGCCTCGTTCATCATTATGAGAGCTGCTCATTGGCGCATAAAGACAAAATGGCCTGACGCTCTCGAGAGCAAAAAGTCACAAATTACCCATCAAGCCTGGTTGTCGAAAGCAGAAGTATCCGTATGTTAACATGGCATTTGTAGTACCGCCATTTGGCCACTACGAATATTTGCCTCAGCGTCATGAGAGTAAAACAATACAGTAATGTGGCAGGCCGCTCAACAACACAAAGCTAAACCTCTCTGTGGGTCAATCTCTATCAGCAACTTCTTTCACAGAAGTGCAAAAATAATATTAAGATTCACTATAATGATACAGCCAAAACATAAATCAAACTTACCGCTCAGGGTTATCCACCTCCTCTGTCACAAAGTTCAGATAGAACCTACAAAAGGAAACACTTTTTGTTTACCTCCAGTTGTAAAGCACAACTCTGAAAGTGTGTGTGTTTGTGTGTATGTGTGTGTGTGTGTGTGTGTGTGTGTGTGTGTGTGTGTGTGTGTGTGTGTGTTACAGATGTTAAGATTCACCGATTCGCATCGGTGCACCGGCATAAACGTTCAAGATGCGAGTGCACCGGTTGAAAGAGTGCACATCGGCTACAGTTTGGGTTGAACCGGGTTGAACTCGACGATGCATCGATTGCGTAGCGTCTTTGCTATACGGTAAAAAACCGATTCATTCATATAAAATCCCCTCATTTTGTCAACCCTCAGCAGAGACGATCTTTGATATTTGCTTCGCCATTACGGAGGCCGAGAGCCTCAGTTATCAACACACACAGAAGTTGAGGAGAAAGAGAAACACAGCGCACGGAAAAATACCTACAAATCAAACGTTTGGCAACACTTCGGATTGTTCAAGAAAGACGGTGTAATAGTCCTTTATGCTATATAGTTGATCGCAGGTCATGGAGATTACTA